CTCCCCCCCCCCCCCCCCCCCCAACACCAAAGGAGCTTACACTCTAATGTCCTCCCACAGTCACACTATTATATATCTGACATACCACAGTGATGTACAAGGAGCATTGGGCCAGTCACTGCAGTTTCTGTACAGCGGAGCTTACACTCTAATGCACAATGGCACAGAGACTACAAATCCCAGCAATACATTATACAGCAATGCAGAATAGTATATGAATTACTATAAGCAACTCGCTGGACCCTACACTGGGATAGAGAAACCAGTTATAGGAAACATTACCGTGCAATGTTCCCAATCATAATCCATTTCTCTAAATTAATATCACAGCACACTGTTTAGTTTCTGGGCTCCCCCCTTGCAGGTGGTATATGGGCCCCCCACAGCAACCCCTACGATACTGGAAGTGAGGACAGCAGCAGCCGAGCACACCGATAGCCCTGGAGCCTCAGTGCTGCCCGGCCTGCCGTATGCCACCGCAGTGACGAGGAAGGGGGGGCGAAATAATTCTACTAAGCTCGCCAAAGTGAAAGGTTTTGGCTTTAGATTCTTCTACTTTCCCAGGCCAATTTAGAGAGAAAAAAAAAATCCATAAATTAATGGGGTGCCTTATTAACCTCAATCTGTAAGTAAATCAAATATGCCATCCTGTAAAGAACAGAGTAGCTACACAGTAGTTGTTAGACCAAATGAACTTCAATTTCTTTAAACATCCAGCAACATGAATACAAAAAAAATTATTTAAATAAATTAAAGCTCCTGGTCTACCAAGTTACTGTGTAGCTATTCTGTTCTTTACAGAATGTTTTTTTCGCAATTTAGGAAAATGGGATCAGCCCCACCAATCTGCTCCCTCTACCCCTTTAGGCCAGAGGATACATTTGGAGGTGCATGGTTACTTCTGACCACTAGAGGGCCGAACTTGCAAACTATTGGAAGCTGCAGCCAATATGAGCCTTGAATAACCTTACAGCACAACACTTCCTTGCCCACTACCTTCAATGCTTTATAAAAATCTCCCTCCAAGAGAAGACAGACAGATTGACCAATCCCATTAACTGCAGCACTTTGTGTTAACGTTGTACATTTTTCTAATGTTTAGGCATTAATGTAGTTACAATAAACGGCATACAACCACCTACTTTAGTCAAACCATCACAGAACCTCTTGAAGACTTCCTTCATGTTGCCACCTTTCTGCATAGAGATGACACGGAGATGATCCTCCTCATTGATCCAGACAAGGAAAGTCTTGTTGTCATTGTGCCTTGTGTAAAAGATACATTACATGGATTCAAGATGGAAAATACATAAGCCATAGTGCATCCTGAATATCTCCCCTGCAAAATCCAGATTCTTCCGGAGTACACAAAATACCCCCCCCCCCCTTCATCCATGACAACCATTAAAAGCTGCGCTGAGATAAATGTGTAGGCCACCACTGCTGATGTGAAAGTCAATTACCTAGTGGTCTCCCGACTTAAATATTGCATTGAACCCAAATAAATCTATTCAACACACCATAATGGAATCAATCTAGCTGGTGCTGTAATGACCAATGGCTGGCACCATGTGCATCAAAGCAGGTCACCAGCACATCAGATTCTTGCATGAAATTAAACTTTGAACAATGAATTACACTAAAGTGCAACATTTGGCACCACCCAAGACCTGACTCACGTTTAGACAGTCATACTGCACAGCTTGGAAATGTTGCTCTTGCTGCGATTCTTCATGAATTAAAAAAAAGTGAATTTTCTGCAAGAATATGGGTTGGTGACAAATGACAAAACAGGAATAAACATGTAGCAAGATGTCAGCGCTCCTGATCTGCATAGATATTTCTCCCAGTATGGATTTTATTTAACCAGATAGTCACTCGGGTCAAGGTGCGGGTGTTATGAGCAGAAGTCCAGATTAACGCTTTATCTGGGGTTAAAGAGGCTTAAAGGTGAGCAAACAAGACACCAAGACCTGTTACATTGTACAGAAAATTCTTTAGATCCACCAGAAGAGCCATTTCCTGCTCTTAAGAGTACTGACTGACAACTGACACCATGTAGAAGAATGACTTGCATTTAAAACTTATACCATGCAAAAGCTTTGGCTATCTTTGTACATTGCTTGAATATGCATGTATGGGAAAAAGGTCTCCATGTGATCTGTCATTAATTTCAATGAACACGAGGCAACAGGCATGGCAGACCTCAAATACTACACCGAGAAACAAGCATGCTACAATAGTTTCCCCTGTATTCCATAGGGAAAGTAAAAGCCAAGTATTCCTTTCATACTATGTTACATGCATATTTAGGGTACAACATGGTATCCTTCCACAGCCCCCCACTCAACTGCCCACCCAGCAGCCCCCCACCCACAAACTTTAGCTTGCTGCTTGGCATCACAGAAGCTGCCATTTTTATACACTGCAGAATACCCCAATCCCAATTTTAGCAGACGGGCCCCATGGAGTATAGTTAATTAACAGGCATGACCGGTAATAGCTACCCAATTGGAGGAGATTATGCACAGGGCTATGATGCATAATCAGTCCGTAAAACGTTAGGGCTTAATGTTGAAATGTTAGGCAACACCTCAGTACTCGTTTTGGTGCGAGGATAAGCTATGCAGAGCGCTTGCTGCAACTAGATTTATTAAGCCACAACAAAGCAATGCGTCCCTGGTGACCTCCCAACATCCTCTTCACTAAGATGCTACTTCCCATCTAAGAAATGGACACGTACAACCATCTTCCACAGGAAACATCAGGACACCTACCAGATTCCTCTGGCGTCAGGCCAGTCCCGCGCCATCCCTGAGGCCAGAAGCAGGGGAGATACTGGCTTGTCAAACAAGAAGTGGTCATCAATGAGCTGCTGCTGCTCTGCGTCTGTCATACTCTTGAGAGCATAGTACTTTCCTTTCAGGTCTCCATCCAGGCTATCTAAAGCTGGGAACATAAATATTAGCAATTATACAAGTTGCCAGCCACAGCTAAATATATGCAAGACTGCAGATCACAAGGACCTGACAGTTGTGTAGAAGAGCATGTACTCTCAAGCCTTGCTAGACACCTAGGCCAACTCAGTGCACACATGTTTACCAGAGTTGGCATACCCCTAGAACACAAGCATCCATTAACCCCTTAGTGACTGATTACGTACAGTGTACGTCGCCAGCATTGGGGCTGTTTAAACAGACTGCCGGCGGCTATTGCCGCCGGGACTCTGTTTAAACTTGTAAAGCCGACTGTCGGCTTTACCACAGAAGCGATTCTGGCGACTTACCTGTCGCCAGATCGCTTCTGTGTCCCGTAGAACCCCGTGCTTCCCGGGCTCCCTTGCCCCTCCTACGGGCCCGGGACCGGCTTCCTTGATGTCCGCAGGTTGACGAACTTCCGTTCATCATTCCCCTCCCCGTTCTATGGGACCGGGAGCGATGCAGATTGCATCACTTCCGGGCTCCTGCAGCCCAGCTATAAGCTATTGAAGTGCGATCTGCACTTCAATAGCTTATTTCCAGTGTAAAGGTGACACTGGGGGTCTTTTGGACCCCCAGCATCACCTTAAAGCGTACCTGTCACCACCATCTGCTATCAAATGGGGGGGGGGCTTGTTAGCCCCCCTATGTGATAGCAGTCAAAGAAAAAAAAAAAATATAAAAAACAAAATGTAAAAGTCCCCCGTGAGGACGCGCGTCGCCACGTAAACACGCGTTGGGTGCACCTACGTATGAAAACGACGAACGCGCTACACATGTTGGGTATCGGCCGCACACGCCGGAGTGAGAGCAATAATTCTAGGGCATCTCTAAATTGATGACCTGTGGGGGCTTTTAAAGCGTCTATGGACTTTTTGGTGTACTGCAGTTTTTCGCACGCAATTTGTAACCTGGGCATGTTGGGTGTCGTTTTAATCGTTGTAACCTCATCTTTTATATTTCATTTAAAAATTGGTATTTTGTTGTGTTTTGGGGCATCCATAAAACATGGATGCAAAAAATTAAAGGCCCGTCATGAAGGGGTTAAATCTCAAAGCATGTTCACCTGCCACAAAAAGATGGGCAACAAAGAATGGCATACTACACAACTAGAGAAACCTGGGCTTACCATAAATATCAGACAAACCTATGTTCTAATATTAAATGGTAGAATTTGGACTAGAGCATAGACTCCTTGAAGCGGCATTGCTATTAAGGGTTATTTGAAGCCAGCTACCAGCCAGAACCAAGGTCTGTATTTTGGATATTAAAAAGCCAACAATTATATCAGTAAATGTGTATTTTTATATTCTCCACCCAAATATATTTCAGGTTCAATTGGCATTACATACATATGATCTCAGCACTGCTCTTGAAAGACCCACTAAATCTTTGGGCAATGTAGCTCCCCAGTAGCTTACATTAACTAATATCAATTCCGGGTGGACTTTAACAAGCATCCTAGTGTAATCTCACCTTGATATGGCTCTGGAGAATACATCTTCAGTAAACTAAATACAGGGAACATTTTTGACTTCAGGACATTTAAAACCATGAGTGACAGTACAAATATGGATCGTAGCACTCCTGTTACTATATCTGGCTCTATCGTGGAACACAAATCTTATTCCATATTAAAAGGAAAGAATGTTTCTGTACCATAAGCCAAGACAGACTATGTAACATGACCATATACAGACAGGTATTCATAGGATCTTCTAAGGGGGAGGGGGGAAATTTCCCTAAAAGGGATTGCAATAGATAAAAGACTGGAGCACATTTCAGATTATGTTTTTAAAGGTTAAACTGTACAATAGTTTAACCCCATACCCCTTAATTTTTCTGCGTATGATTTGTCAAGGGAGTAAGTCCCAACAATGAACATGTCAGACAAAAAAAAAAAAGGGAGTAAATTAAATCCTGGGTTAGATCTGACAAGAGCAAAACTAACCGTTGATCTGCCAAAAATCTGGATTAGCTGCCAACTACCTATGCCGCACTTCTAGGAGTCATACTGTTCTGAGGATTACGGGACAAGGATCGGGACAAGGATCAATCCAGTAGTCCTGTCCCTGATAAGAGTAGGGTAAATGTGAGTTTTGTCATATTAGGACAGGAAGTGTTACTTAAAAATACAGGGAAAGCAGGAAAACTAAAGCAGCCTCCACATATAAGGTCTGGTAATCTGCAAAATATTACAACTTTGTTTTAGGATTTAGATAAGCTTTAAAGAATGTAGCACTGCTGTAAACTATTGCTAGCGAGACTACTGCATGGTAGGCACAGAACAGCAATTACTGCACCCATGATGCATTACTAGTATACACATTATAGTGCAGATGATCTTATAAAAAGGAGTGTCTGCATGTTTCTACAGCTTCAATACACTAAGCACAACCTACCCCTAGCAAAAGGTTATTTTTGTTTTTGTTTTTTTAGAGCATCTGCCCAGATTGCTGTACCCTGGCACCCCCGAAGCTTCAGTCCAGACCTAGACGCTCTTAACCCTGACTCAAGTGCTAGTTCCAATGCATAGTATAGCACTGCAGTATCAGGCACAGGAATTACCCACCCTGAAACTAGGACCAGAGGCAACCTCCAGTGCTGGGTGAAAGCTGCTGTTAGATTAAAGAAAGTCTGGCTGAATAGGTTATAGATTAGGGTTAGAAGTACTTTCATGTGGTATGCCAAACAGACCTACTGACAGATGAACAGGTAGTGCAAGTGTTACAGGGGAGCTCAATGCTCAGTATGCCCTTTTCCACTTGTCATCCCTACAAAACATGCAGCACCTTCAGCAGTACACCAGTCTGCTTCATTTACAGTATTTGCTCATGGAAACTTCTCTCCGAGCAGAGGAAACTAAGTCAGTCTAATTATGGCAAAGCATTATTTATTCACAAGTTCCAATTACCTTCATTGGAGAGTTTTTCAACGGCTCTTCTTTCCCCGCGGCTGCAGTGAGGTGGAAGGCAAAAACCACGGATACTCCTGCCAGTTCTAACACGGGAGCTAATGACATAGTTTGGGTCCAGGTCATCACCGCCCTTTTTTCAACTTACTGCTAGAAGATATAGGTCTTTAAAAGGTTGTGCAATTTGCAGAACATTTTATTCAATCTCAAAAAAGGTTGCCACTGAGAACATTTAAGGTAAACTTCAATGAATTTAGCTTATTTGCCATATATAAAGGCTAACAATTAATTCGACCTTGACAGACCCTTTTGGTCTGTTAAATATACTGTTTGCAGATGCAACACAAGAGTGCGTGTTGTCACAGGAAGTGTGTTACCAGCAGGATGGACAGGTTAGAAAAACAGCCACCACATCTGTGGACCTGTAAGCTGAATATATTAAATTTGTATTCTTTGGTTTAGACACCAACCACCCCAGGTTAGTTAAAATATAAATGTTCAATTACAAGGGTGTACAAGTTGTGAGCCTTTATTTATCTGAAAGGTCATATTTCCTTCTTTGTCCAGAGAGAAAAGAGAAACAGGAAAAAAAAACAGTGGTTCTGCCAGTGGTTCGTGCGTCACTTGCAGTGAGACAATATTCCAAGACCCACAATAATTGCCAGATGGAGTTCTGATGACTACAATTATACTATTCTCCCAAAGTAACTGGAGAAATAGGAGATTACACAAGACTACAAACAAGACAAATTCAGTAATAAGCCCTAGGATTCCCTCCCTAGCTGTGTTTGCTCTTTTAATGATGCACTGCCTGCAGGAAAACCTAATGATGCACATCAAATTTACCCCATTAAGATGCCAAGGTCCACTTACAACATGAGAACGTCTGAATATTTTCAGGAAGGAGTGGGCCATTACACAAAGATGAGTGCCATGACTGGGAAAGTTCTATATTTCGCTACAGAAATTTAAGGTGCTCATACCCACGGGGCATAACCCCAATAGACACATTTTGTGATTTCACTTTCATTAGAACCCCAGGCAAACATCAAAGTACACATCAGAACTATTAACAGGATTTGGAACACTTTATTTGCTCCTGTAACACGATTTCCTAGTTCATCTTTAGAGCTTTCAGGTCATCTTCTGGCTTGTTGGACAGAGGTGATGCGGGTTCACTGTCTAACAAGCAGTCTGGAAGATAAAAGGAAGGGTTCTGAAGAGGAAGTGATGCTGTGGATACTGATCCCCAACTGATACAAAAACAAAGGCCTTAGTATTTCCACATGGCTAATTTTCAGCGGCTCTCCACAAAGCAGGTTTCCCCCCCAGGGACCAGGGTCACCTAATTTGAAAAGTCTGAGCCCAAAAGGTGTGCCAGACATTAGAGGAATTAAATACTTAAGTCTCAATGAAAAGAGGAAAAATAATGTCAGCCAACTGGTTTGTCATGGGGGAAACTACCCCTTCTTCAGGGCTTTAGCACTTATCAGAATGCAGGCATAGATAGCCATCCATCGGTCTCCTGGTTCTGAAAGGTTCTAAATGTGGGATTGTTTGGCTCCCAAAAACTCATTGGCTGCCATTTCCCTGTGGTCATTAGAGAAATTAAATACATTTGGACTCTAAGAACATCTGTTTGGTGCTCTTTTGGGCTCAAATACACATGGATGAGGAAATGGGACACTAGACACTGCCGAGCTAAACCAGTAAATAAAGTAATCCATCTTTCTCACTGACAGGGTTGTCAATAAGACCAGCCACACAAACATAAGACCTTTGTTAGTGAAAGCATACACATGAATTGTGTGTATAGTCATTATCGTAGAACTGCATTGAAGCCCAAGAAGTGCTACAGAATTGAAGATTGCTTAGGATTGGGGGGCGGGCGATCAGCCACTGCTAGAGATACCCAGCCACTGCCCTGACGATCAGAGGATTAGAATGCCAGCTGCTGTAGATTAGTCTGTTAAACATTTTTAAAAAACAAGCTACAGATTATATAGGAGCAGCAATATTCAGAAACTTGCCTTCAAGTTTTCAGACTTCAGGTCAGTCTTGTGTTGGTCTGTTGGCTTGTAACCACCATGTCGCTCTTCAATGATGGGGTCAAACAGCTCTTTGAACACATCATAGCACTCTTCATCCCCAGCGACACATCCCACGGTCATAATATAGGGGTGGCCTGAACAAACAGCATGTATAAGTCACAAAAGGCACTATTGTACACAAACCAAAGAGGAGCAGGACAGATTATTGCTCAACACAAGGAAATCTTATAAACCTTAAGACATTCCCATGCACAGCCATCTGATGGTTTTATTTGAGGAGAGCTAAAAGCTCCAGCATACCACTGGCTAGTAGGGCATACAAGACTTCAATGCCTGCACGGCTGGATGAACAGTCTAAAATTTAGTTTAACACATTAAACAGGCAAAACACCAAATTAGGATCACAACCCTCTTTAGTTTAGGTCACCAAGTACAGTAGAAAACTGCCATTGCCAATCTTTGAACAATACCAATTGTCTGGCTGCCATGGTGGTCCAATAGCTTCAAAATTTTCATGCAGAACTGCTACCAGTATGGAAAGAAATGCTTATTAGCATACTTATGGGCCGCCAACTCAAGTTATGTAGGCATTGATTTAGCATAAAAGCCAGTCAACAGTCTGTAAATGACAGCCTACACAAGTTGTTCAGCATAGGTTTCCTTTAAAGCAGGGGTAGCCAAACTCCGGCCCTCCAGCTGTGGTGAAACTACAAATGCCATGATTCATCTCTCTGGGAGTCATGTCTGTGGTTGTGAGAATCTTACAATGCCTCATGGGTTTTGTAGTTCCACCGCAGCAGGAGGGCCAGAGTTTGGCTACCTCCGCTTTAAAGTGACCCTGTCAGTTCTTTAAATTCCCAGTGCGAGCTAGTAGTTATATTAGAAGTATTAAACTATTCTCTGCTGGCAGTTCCAAAGCTGCAGCCGCCAAGATTCTTAAGCATTCAACACTTCTGGGAGCATGGGGTGACCGTGTTCCCCAACCGCTGGCCATGGTTCCATCCGAACAGAATAGCAGTTAGATAAGGGTATAGAGGTTGAACCACAGCACAAAGAGAGGGAGCAAAGTCATCCAACAATAAGTTTTGGAATGCCACTGAGGTCTATCAGAGGCTATAAGAATGGAAAGAAGGGCAAAAAAAAAAAGGTAGGAGACGCAGGCTGACAGGAGTACAGCACAATACAAGGAGCTGGCTTTAGTAATTGAGATAGGATCGGGTCATTTTCAAGGGTAGCGTCATTTTAAAAGGGAAGCTACAACTGAAGTTAAGGACAGAATGCTTGGTGTGGGCGATGGAAACATTATCTATACCATTTTCCATGAACAGATAAAGGTTAAAGATATTAATTATAAATTAACACTTGACAATTTTATGGCACATTTCAAAGCTCTGTCAGCTTTTAGCCACAGCAATCTACCACCCATGATACAAATCGCTTCCTAATTTTGTGCAAACAGTGGCAGCAAAAAGTGATTGCAACTGTGTTGTTGGTTTAGAGTAATTTGTGCTTGATTTCCACCCAATTGCAATCATTTGAGCAACCTAAACCAGGAAATGACAAACCACAGGAAGTAGATAGCGGTGGACTGTTGAATGCCATTAAAATCACATTTTCAATCAACACATGTGTGCAGCCAGCATAATTGAAGTGTTACAAGTCACATCTGAGCTTCAGGTAATTTACTGTAGTCCTAAATCAGTCTATTGCAAGAAACAGTCATCAAATGTTAATATTCAGTTACACAGACTTCACAGCAATTACATCTCCATAGCCTATGCAGAGTGGCAGCAACCATCTTGTGAAATGAACCAATGACCAAAATAAAGGTCATGCTAAAAACTTGGTATGTGGACATCTAGAAGAACCAAGTAGAGCAGCATTGTGCAGTATCCCGTACAAACCAATCAGGAACCACATACTGATGAAAAACTGGTTAGATGCAGTGGGTTAGTCTGGTCTTTGTAATGCAGTATGAAGTGAACAGTGCCCGTGCAATTGGGAAAAAAAAAAAGAATCTGTTTGAAGGGGAAAAGCGTTGAAATTAAATGTCTCCCCATCTAAACACTGAATTACTGCTAGCTGTCTGGATGTCTTCAGCCACAGTACTTGGCAAGTCACTAAGCTTCAACAAGCCAGAACTTTTTGGCTATACACTTGTTTGAGGTACGACTTGGAAAATATGAAGTACCTTGCTTAGCATAACAGGCAACTAGTATTTTCAAATAGAGATTTCAACAAAATAGCCTATTATAGGCATGGAGCCAAAAAATTTTTCCAATTTAAGGTTAGATTGGGGGGGGGTTGCTGTATGGAGGTTTTGTTGGGGAAGTTTCCTGTCTGTGATAAAGTCAGACAGGAGTGAGGGGAAAAATCAGGGACACTTACTGCAGTAAGGTGCAAATAACTCTAGCCTTCCCCTCCGGTAAACTACTATTAACACCCTGGCTCCCTTCTGGAGGAGATTGCTCCACTTCTTGATCTGGTGAAAAGGTGAAAAAGTGTAATAGGAAGTGAGGGGGATCTCCCCAGTAGAGTCCCATAGAGCACTGAAAACCTGAGAGATGCCAATCATTTCCTATTCAAAAGCTAAAGATTTTAGTTGGATATTTAAAAACCTAGCCCATGTAAAGCTGGCCATACACTTAAGATTATCTGCAGATAACCTATGGTCAGATGGGTAAAAGGGCAACAGATTCCTCCATCTACACTAAACTGTAGCTTGAGGAATCTCCCACTGGGCCAAGCCTCAGTGTCTTGCTAGTGAGCCCCGATGGCTCTCAAAATACCTGCATCCGAATCAGATTGTTCAGGTATTTTGAGATCTAGCAGGGCTGACTAGCAAGACACTTAAGCATGGCCCAGCAGGAGATTACCCCCAGCCACACAGTTTAGGGTAGATGGAGGAATCCGTTGCACTTTTTCCATCTAACCATAGAAAATCTACAGGTGTATGGCCAGCTTAACCCAACTCAAGGATTTCACCATTCTGATGGGGGTCAACAATTATGATGGAGGCAATGGAGGGAGGGGGGGCAGGGGTTGACAGGCTATAGAGAATCCTAATACACTATTCCCTCTGCTTGCATGGAGCTGCCTTTTTACTGGGCACTGAAATGAGAAACACAATTTCAATAACACTAGAGTTATGACAGGTTCATGTCACAATGACAGCTTCAGCCACTCTATGCAAGCAACTGGTGCGGTTAAATCTTTCCAATCCCAGACATGCTTTTCATTTTTACCAGGATTGTCTACCCCAGTTTGTATCACATCATCCACCAATGAAGCCACTGGGGGTTGTTCTGTTTCTCAGTCTCTTGTATACTTTAAAAACAGTTAAACTTTTGCCATGTGGTTGTTGTGTTTGCTCAGGTCTGGGAACTCTTCTGCAGAAAGCCTCTTAGTGATTGGCTTGGCCATGTTCACTTAACTAAAAGGAGAAAACAAGAACTGTACAGGTTAGAATCTGCTCCCCCTCGTCAAGAAAAGTGCTCCTTGATTCTTCTTTTGCCAAATTATACTGCAGATAATATCACAATATTCCCACATTTAAAGGTTATCACCACTTTTCTGACAGCTTATTTGAAGGCTGAGAAGGGAAGAGACATTTTGTAAAGAGTATAACCCAATCTGGACCGTGTTGCCTGTACTGCCTGCTAGTGCCCAATGAAAAATCAAAGTTTGGAGATTTTGAAATGCCATTTCCCACAAATCTTTATTGAAAGCTTGTAGAAAATCATATTGCCGCCTACCATTTCCCCACACACAATATTGCCAATGGGTACAACAGGTATTTCAAGAGCCAGTCCAATCTATAAGTGCCCATGCATATAGACAACGAATGGTCGATTTGGAGAGTCTCTGCCAAAGATCAGTTGTGTTCAGACCACTACTAAATTCCATGTTAGACACGAACTCAAAAAGCTGGGACAGAAGACCTTTTATACAAAGACTATATGGATAAGTATGTGGTGTGTTCATACAAATTACTTTCATCAACCCCTGCAGAATAGATATTTTCTTCATTATTTTAAGACATCTGGGCCTGTCTGGTTTGGATGGCTAATCCTGTTGCAGGTATCCCATAGCTGAGAAAATTAAGTGTGTGGGAACACTGGTCACTTTAACTACCAAGGCCAATGCTTTACAAATTATAATTTTCCCCTCTCAAGCCCTAAAACACCAATGCTAGCTCTAATATATATATATATATATATATATTAGAGATGTATGTGTGTGTGTAGTCTTATCAATTTTGTAGGACTTCTACACAAGTCCTTTAGTCTGACAGCTTAGCACTTCCAGTAATGAGGGAGAACAGATGGCAAAGTGGATGAGGAGAGGCAATCTGTGCATTTTACCTGGGTTGTCAATCCCAGTCTGAATGGCATCATCCGCAGTAAATCCACTTGGCGTCTCTTTGTTCCTCAGACGATCATACAGCTCTTTGGTCAGTACCTTGGCCATATGGTTGTTGTGGGAGCTCAAGTCGGGAAACTCCTCATCCACAGAGTACTTCATCTTCAGTTTGTTGTGAGAGTTGCCGAAAGGCATGATTGCACTTTACTGCAGGAATTACAGAACAAAAATGGTAACAGATATAGGACACGACCTCAAGGGTGACATTGGAGCAAGCTCATGCGGGAACAGGAAATTTAGGCCACAACTTGGCTAGTGGCCATCTAAATCTCCCATGAACCTCAACACTTAAGTATACAAGATTGGCCATATTGTACCTGGTTTTTCCTGCAATGTGACCTGGCTGCATCCTTGCAGATTAAAGTATAAATCAGGAGAGACACCAAATTATTACAGAGCTCTTTACAAATTGCAGAGTTAATTTAGTGGATGGGAAAGCCTGCAAAAGATCTGCCCATGTCCTGCTTACATCTTGCGTTCCTCCAAGGTCACAATCATTTGTTATACACAGAAAAGTTTTGTAGATCCCATTGAAGGCTATAGAAAAGGCCAACAACTCCACCTCTTACAAGTCCTACTCAGCTTATACAGATCTGATAAAATGCTGGAAGGTCATCTACTCTTCTCTAGTGTTAGATGGGTCATTTTTCATATGCAGTCCTTAAAAAGAAACTTCACAAGTACACCATCCGCATAGCTTAGGCAGCAGAAATTGGAGGAGGATATCCCTCCCCAATAGAAGTAGCACAGGGTGGAGCAATTATCTCAAAAACACTGCATGTAGCATCTTTTGACAGCTGATGCTCTCTACCTTATGCCTCGGTGAACAGGGAACTCTGTTGCCATTTGTTTTCACATTTGGTTGATTGAACTCTATATGCTTTTCTAAATAAGAAGCACTGCCATGAAAAATCATCCACTGTTTGTAGTAAGTGATGCTGTTGGTCTTTTATCTAAAACAATATCTAGTTAGGTAACATGTAGCTTTGCATTCTTTTTTTTTTAATCTTATCTCACCGATAGACAAAGCAAGGACAGTGTAGAAAGCATCTCATAACAGCCTATCACAGCGCCTTCCTATCTGATTGCTACAAATCACTGCACTTAGCACTGTCTTAATGACCAAGCAAGTCAGCATTGTACCTGCTGTCCTCCAAAACAAAAGTCTACACATTTGCATCTTGAAGGTCAAGGAGAGTATGCAGCCATTGCTAGTCCATGATGCAGGTTGCATAGGTATGCCTTGACTTTTAGTTCCATCACAGCCAGATAAGTGACAGCATCTCAACCAAAGAACACTCAGCAAGGAAATTAGAGTACCAAGAAAGATGTACACAATTCCTTCCAAGTGGCATTTCAAAAGCTGATTAGCTGTGAAAATAGATGGGCTCATTCAATAATGTTGTCTTAGTAGTGAAACTGCCTCAGAGCAACCAGAAACCAGATTACTCTGCACTTCCTGAGCAGATCAAGGAAAGCCGTGGGTTACAGGCCTCGAGAGCGCTGAAAATAAAATTGTGCTGCCCATAGGATGCAAGCTGTTAGCCTTCCAGCACACATTCATCTTTACATATTTAAAGAGGCCATACACATTACAATCCGTATGGAGATTGTGCAATCTCTTTACAATCTTTAATTTTACCAAAGCCATGCAATGTAATGACCTACCCAAAAAAGTTAAATCAGCTTGTATCCAGTCAGATCAGCATACTATGTAATTGATAAGAGCAAAGAGGAGATAGTACAGATTGTAAACATGTACAGTCAGATTAGGATGCAAAATGAACCAAAGCATGTCAGCTATTATAATGGGGTACAGAGCAATTTTGATAATCTAGTAAATGGGATTACATAAAATGCACCTGCAAGGGCAGTAACCCCACCAATCCATCCCCAAATGCTTCTCAATAAAAGCAAAAACTGCCTGGATCAACCCATCATTGCACAGCTTAATGGAAGCCTGCTCTGGAATCACATGGAAGCTATTACTACTCACCTTTCCTTCTGAAAAGCACCCATGCCCAGACTGTCATGCTTTGCCAACAGATTCAGTAAAGCCCAGCTGACTTAGAACAAATTAGGATCAGGAAAGCTAATTTTCACAATCTCCATGCTTGTTCCATGTCAGTGACTTGGACTTAGAGCATTACAGCCTGAGACAGCAACGAGCATTTCCAGAAGGTGGTGAGCTATGCTATGCATTCCTTGTACTGAATGAGCCCATTCTATAGCAGCACATTAAAATCCTAGCAGAACACCAGAGCCTTGGAAGCCATTCCCGACCTGGGGAAGGGGGAACCAATACAACTGAGCTGTTCATGCTACTAACTGGAATAAAAACACCTTTCAGCAATGCCAGCAGCAGCAGCCCTGCTCTGACCATGATGCTGCAGCGATAAGTCATCCATCCCCAAACTAGCCCCATCCCAGAGGCTGCAGCAGAGCCATGAAAAGGGTGCAGCAGGGGGCAGCGCTGAGCCTAGCCGGCCAAACTTCTAACACTCCATTAACCCCTTCCTTTCTCCTGCACAGATGGGAGTTAAGAGCATTACAGCAGAGCAATGGCATCCCATGCACAGACATCCCTACACCCAGCACAGACCTTTAATAATTCATAGTCCCTGGCACAAGCTAATCATCCCCTGGGTAAATGGCGTTCACATTACTATGCACTGCCATTTAGAAGAAGCTGATTCTGCTGCAACGCCCCAGCCCAGTGACACGTCCCAAGGACATGAGCTGTCAATGGTGAACTTACTATCCACCGCCTCCATCTATAACACCCCCCAGAGCAATCGCAGCGTACCAAGCCTCTAATGAAGCCCAGATCAGATCCCGGGCAAGGGACGAATGCACCAATCTCAAAACAGAGCAGCCGCAGCGCAACCAGCCTGCAATGGAACCCGGGAGCAGCGATGACTGCACGATGCCTATTGTCGCTTGTATGGGATCCCCTATAACGGTGCACGGAGCTCCTTGTTATATTCCTATCCCATGCAAACCAATACAAAGTATCAGATGCATCCCACGCTGTCCTGTGTGCAGCCCCAGTGGTTACTTACCAGTTTCTTAATTTACTGGAGGGAATCTAAATGCTTCTTAGAAGGTTTCCAGACACAACAACTCCCCAGACCTGCAGGGATGTGAGTGAGAAGACGCTGCCATCGCCTTTATATAGCGTGCTCTGCCCACCCTGCCATTGGCTGATATTTATATTCAATTCATTGTATTGGTCGCCCGGGACAGAGGGAAGGATCTTCTACACAGCAATGCTCCTCCATGGTGCTGGACATCGCTGCTGGTGCCTGCACAGCCAATGTCACCTGTCACACCTCCAAGGGGATCTGCATTGTTGTGTCTTAAAGAGAGACCCCGTCACTGACTTAGCAGGTGGATAAGCAAATGTTGTTGGAATTAGGGATAGGCAGCCTCAGCATTCCAGCTGGGGTGGTGAAACTACAAATAATATCATGCATCTGCCTTAGGGTGTCATTTTTGTGGCTGCCAGAGACTTGCAAAGCTTTATGAGATTTGTAGTTCCCAGGGCCATCCGCCTAAGATGGTACTCATTGGGGGCCAGCAGGCTGCAGCATCACCAGGTCGGGTGTCACCTGGTGCCCGCTTCATTACGCACATGCGCCAATCTTGGTGATGGACAGGACACTGGCAAAGAGAGGAGGGGAAGTTGATCCGGTGGAATGAGGTATGCCGCCAGGTCGACTTCTCTCGCGCGCAGTTGTCGGGCTCTCGGTCCATGTGCGACTCTGCAGAGGAGGTGACACCAAAATAACTGTTAGTCATTTTGGTGTCACCCCTTGTGATGGGGGCCTC